AAAAGAAATCCAAGTCCAAGTCTGTTCGTATTTCTGATAATAAAGATTTATCGAAAAAAGTAGGTGGGATATTAGAGGCAAAAAAGAACAAGTATCAAAAATACCACTATCCTTCAGTCTATCGTCCATTATTCTGCAAGATACTGAAAATGCTCTAGAAGTGTTTAAAAAAACACAAAATGGAATGGAAAAGGCTGTAACAAAAGGTCGTGCACTTGAACAAAAATTAAAAACTTGATCTTAGTATTGTCTATACCACTCACAAAGATTATTATAGTGTCCCATAATTTCCAAATTTGCTTGAACGCTAGTAAATAATGCCTTCTCAAGCTCTTTCATACGAGTTACTATACCCTCGTAACTCACTTTTTTTTTAATATATTATCATCCTCACTTAAGTCCTGCAAGTCTTGCGAAATTCTATCTGGAGTTGAGGAAGCATCGCATTTAGGAGTAATATTTACGCAATTCACCTCAAGCTTATTCTTGACCTTATGCATATTAATTGGGATGAAAAATTCCTTACCATCACACACTAGCTTCAATTCCCGCTTTGATGCAAGTAAATCATAATCATATTTATCAAGTAAAGTATTGGGTAAAATCAGCATCGGCTTTCCAAGATGGTTTTTGATTACTGCGAAATCAGAATATATAGTACATCCAGGAGCGAAATATATTGGTACATCCCTAGTCATACCAAGCGATTCTATAGGGACTGTAGCAACACCTTTAAGGTCATACTTTTCACTCGTATCAATTTTTAGTTTTAATCGTTTGGCTATATCATCAGTCATAATTGCAAAATTAGCGCCAGGATCAACCACGGCACCTGGAATGACCAGACGCTTTATTTTACACTTAGTAGTAACAACATCAGTGGCAGGATCTTTTTTCTGAACGAAGTCGATTTCCATAGGCTCATTTAAAATTTCGTCTTCTTCATCTGAGTCTCTTTCGGCTTGGTGTTGAGCTAAGACAGGTTCATATTTTTTAGCTTGCTGAATTATGTATGGAAGATAATTCACAAATTCACTCTGAATTATTTTGCGAATAGTTTCTTCTAAAGACACCCGCCTAGTACCTTGGCTACCTTTTTCTGATAAGACATTACAGGTAGATGGTGAGTTATTATCCTGCTTTACCTTATGAGACTTGGACTCATTATTAATTTTAGAGCTGATGGTCTCTCTCGAAATCTCGCTTGAGGACTTATTGGAATGCTGACTGCGTTCAGCATAATTCACTTTTTTTTTCATGAGATATGTAAACATGCGTATCACGTTTTCCATCGTCTGAACCGGCTGACGAATTATCAGAGTTATAATCATTGTCCTTAGGTTTTAATGTATCATCATCAGAAAAAATGGGATTAGACTGTTCATCAACTGTAGCCATATGAATTCGTCCACTTCTGGATTTGGATTCTTTGACAAGTTTAGCTATTAAAGATTCGATTTGGTCTAACCTTTTTTCCAATCCTCCAAAAGGTGAGGACTCTGAGCATTGACGCTGAGATGTTTTAGCACTTCTGGTATCTTTTCTGACAAATTTGGCTAAGTTAGCTTCAATTTGTTCTATTCTTTTTTCCAATCCTCCATTATTATAGTTCGAGGATTCTGAATACCGATACCGAGCTGATTTGGTATCTATGGTATCTACTTTTATGAGTTTGGTAAGTTTTGCTAAATTAATTTCGATTACTCCTAATCTTTTTTCCAATTCTTGATTAATATAACTATCAAAGATTGAAGCATTATTCGAATTAACTACATTTTCTGATAGCTGTAAACGCTGGGCAAGTTTAGAATGCACCTGCATTGATTTCACTAACTGTGCTTCCAAAAAAGCTATTTTGGTATTTAACTTTTCAAAATCTGCCGAAGTAGCTCCAGAACTGACTTGAGGTTGGATTTGGTTGCCCATGGTAATAGTCTGGGGTAACATATTTGGTCCAACTTGACGTTCCACCCAATACTTTCTGAGATCAGCAAAGAAATTATCTACAGTTTGGTTACCCGCACCTCTTATAGTCATATATATTTTTACACTATTACGAAGATCTGAAGGTAAGTGAGTATATAATGCTGGTAATATCTGATCATCTGCAAAACCTACTATATGTTTCTGAACCCTAGATTCATAAACATCAGGAGATTCTCCTTGGTTAAACCTTTCTTGTATCAGTGATTGTAAAGCCAATTCTGCATTCCCAGCCATCACTTCTCGATATTTATGCCGAAGCCAAACCGTAAATGTGGCGGGTGAATTAATAGCAGGATTACCACCTGTATAGGGATCATTTGCTGATACTGGAGAAAATTTATCCCCATTTTAGATTTTAAGATATCGCATTTCTGAGCATCAACAAAAGTGTTTGCATTAGCATTATTGGCAGCCATGATTACAGCGCCAGCAGATTCAAAAATATTTGTAATTTTTTGTATGTATTCATCTGGCGTTTCTTTACCTATATAGTTAGGAACTTGCTCAAGAGCCGGAGCTAACATTTGATAAATTTCATGAACGGCAGCCATGTTTTGTGGAGGGTTATTTTGTAATGCTAATATTTGTTGTTGTAAATTTAAAATATTCTGGTCTCTTTGCCTAATCACTAGCTGGAAAATAAACTTTTCACATAGCAATTCGCCAATGCGGGTTTGTTTTCTTGCTATAATAACTAACATCTTATTTACCTGGTTTTGGGCATTAGTCTGCAACCGTTGAGTATTTTGTTGAAGACGGTTAGTATCTCGCTGATACAATAGTTGTTTAGCAAATTTTTCTCGTAATAATCCTTGAACACGTCTATCTTTATCCCGATATAAAAAATACCAATGGCGGGATTCTTGTCTCTCATTATTATAGGCTAGCATAGCTAAGTCTCGCTCTCCTTGAGCATTATCTCTTTCTCTTATAACTGCATCCCTTTCTCTCTCAGTTCTTTCAGCCTGAACTCGAGATTCATTTAATAAACGTTGTAACCGTAA